GGTAGATGCACCATATTTGTTTTTCCTTTGATATTGCTTTGACTCCAGGTGGGCGATTTTCAGGGATCAGGACTGTTCAAAAGTCTTTTAGGTTAAGCGACACATTTTCTAAGTGGCGCCTTCGTCTCGTTTGGCACTTCCTCGCAGTTTTAATGGCATCTTAAATGGTGTCCTTGCGGTTTTTCTGCCTTTTCTGTTTTGAGGTTGCAGTCCTGTATCAGTGACTTTAAGTTGTAGTTGTTTATTCTTTCGTCCTCTTTTTGCTTGCTGATAGGAAGTGGGTGGCGTACAGCGTTTTGATTCTTCGGCTTGATGCATACATTCTTTAGTGTTCGGATAGCTTATTCGTATCTTACACACCTCTTAATGTAGTCATAAACATTAGGGTATACGTAATTTGCGAGGGCCCTCAATTTGTAAAGCGATGGGTGTATCAACGGCTTCCAAACAATAAGTACAGTTATCAATCCATTGAGTCCACTTTTTCGCAGCGTTGGCATTGCTGAGATTACCATTTAAACGTTGCGGTCAGATGTTTCGGTCGGTTATTTGCCGAATAAATTATTATTTGTATGAGGTAGGAACACGCCGAGTGATAATAAGTGCAGCCCGAATGAATAGGCTTAATTCTGCTGGAAACTGAGGTGAGCAAACAGAAAATAAATATAGGAAGTTTGTGGTCAATGACGATATGAAAGTGACTCGGTTATATTTCATGTATCTGAGTTTTATGTCAGTCTACTTTATATGACCTTGGTGTGTATTGATCATAAGAATTCGGGATGCACTTCGACTTGAATATACCCTTTCGCTAAGACTAATTTCGCAAAATAGGTGTCACCATTACGTAAGGGGAATAAATCATCTGGGGCATGAAGCGGGTAACAATTGGTTTCTAGGGCAGAATTTAGGCCATTGAAATATCGGCCCATATGCGGACAAGTCCACTGACATTGACCACAGCAATAGGATTGGTTCAGGCAGAATATGGAGCAAGCTGTAAGACCAATTTTCTCAAGGGTCAACATGGTACCGTAGGGTAACGATCTTTTCAGACGGAAGACAGACTGGCTGCCGACTGGTGGTTAAAATGTCGCCTTCGTGTGGGTGCGGAGAGCCAGTCCCTCCTTGAAAATATCGGAGAAGTGATGGGTGATCTGTTGGGTCAAGTCCGAGAGACCGGAGTTAGACTGCACTACGTGGCTCAAACGAGTCAAGCCCGAGAATGCTGAGGTCAGGATCGGAGACGTAACGGACTATCTCGATGTTGTTTCCGCATAAGGACTTTGCACAGTGTAACCGTCCAGTCAACTGCAGGGAGGCACCACAATTGCTAGTGTCTGTCCGAGTGGATGGTTGGACCGTATGGCTACCAAGTGAGCGCCAGAGCCTTCTGAATATGACGGTGATGCCAGAGACTGTCAAACTGCAGGTAAACTGTATGTCCATTGGCGTGGACCTAAACATACTTCCCGTTGTGGGTGGCATTGAGTTGGAAGGTTGCGAATAGCTTTTATGATCTACCAACCGCCTTGGAACTCTGTGAGTTTGTGGGACCTGGGGCTGACCTGTTATTAACTGAAGGCGAGTAACAGAAACCTTTATGCCCAACTGTGTGACACCGCCAGCAACTGCTGTCTAAACGGACAGGACTTGCGTTAGTGTCAGTAACCACAGTAGCGAAATGCGTATGGAAGTTTCTTCGGACTGGCGTGGCTAGCAGTGGAGGCACGCTGTTATAAACGTCCTTGTTGAGTTTCGACTTTCATAGTCGGAACGGCCACTTCTTTTACTCGTTGGTTCCCACGCACTGAGTAGCCTAGACGATTCGTATTGGAACGGCTAGTGGACTTAGCCAGCAGACGTGAACTCGTAACTGATAAGGCAGACGGAACGCATAAACGCCACACAACTATACCGAGACCCCAAAGAAGGCTGACCCATAGCAAGACTGCTTTTACTGACTCAACCAAGACAACTGTGCTTTCTACACATTAATATTTCTGGTTCACTAAAACGGTAATGATTTATAGTCTAAAAGGGGGGGGGCGTACGTTTGTTGGCACATGAGTTGCCATGTAATGGTCCTTTCTCCGGGCAGATATGGGGTGGGGTCGATGCTGTTGAGACGTTGGACACATGACAGTTGTTTAGCGTGCTCGGTAGCTAAGGCATTGGTAGAAACAGCTCAGGAGGCAGACTATTGACCTACGGAGAGTCCTGGAGATACGATGGTGAGACAGGGGCGAGTTCAGTAGCAACCGTGCGGGATGCTTTGGCCGCGTTCTCACTGAGAACAACTCCGTTGTGATTTGCGCAGATGAGTGGACCCTTGGCGGCAGTTTCCGTAGGGCGAGTTCCGCTCTGAACTGAGTAGTTTGGGTCATCGCATATCGACCGTGTTGTTCGGGTTCGATAGTGTACTGGCGCCGGTGAGTTTGGTAGGGCTGTGCCAGCCCTGTAGCTTGGGCGGTGATGTATTCATCTTAGACTGAGTAGTGACCACGGGGGGGGGGCAGAACGGGATGTTTTGCCAGTGTTCTGAATCATGTCAGAATCTTGCTTTAGGTTACGAATCCGCTCGCATTCATGCACCAATTGTGCTAGTGTGAGGTTGAGTTCCAAATACACCTTAACCGATAACCTGGTTCGTAGTTCTGCATCATGTGGTGACTGGAGACCACAGACCAAAATCAAGCTTTGGAATTGATCTTCGGTAAGAGATCCGAGCTTGAAACAACCGCATTCACGATTGACAAGACCAGCGCATGTCACAAAGCGGCCGTAATTCCGGTTGACTATCTGGAGGCACTGGAAGCGAGTGTTAATTAAAGATGAAGTGTCCCCGAAAATCGTCATGATTGTCTGCACCGTTTCCTTGAAGCTGCATGACCGCTTTTTAAAAGGAGGATCATGTGGCGGACATAATCCGCTGGGCCCAACTTCCAGAGAAGCGACCGGACTTTGGTCTGGTTATCCCATGTAGCCAGTTCGACCGAGATATCCTCGTATCTCTTGTTCCATGGTTCGTATGTCATGACAACTTACGCATCATACTGGAGATCAGCGATGTTCTTTGTGATTTAGTTCTCTAAAGGTAACTGTGCGAAAAGTTGGCGACCCAAGGCAGTGAATTTCGTGATCAACCTCTCCGTCAGTTTGATTTGAGCCTGCATCATCTGCTTCAAATCAGTGTCTGCAGAAATGGTTGAGAAGAGAAAATCAACACCCCCGTCTCCAGATACGTTGCGGACCCTAAAATCGCTATGGATGCTTGCTTGCTGCACTCGCTTTACATCAGCTCCAGAAGCCCAAAGCAAAATATCAGCAATTTAATGCAGGAAGACGAACCGACAACCGCCCAGCTGGAGGAAGTACTGATTGCAACGGCTGAAAAAAGAGAATGTACTGTGGCGTAGTATCCCACAGCGAATAAATCAACAAAAACGAAACGAAGTTTTTTCAGAGTAATGAAAGCGACATCAATAAAGAAGAAATACGCATTCTTCAATTCCTCACAAATGGATATCGAGAAACGAGTCACTCAGAGAAGTCGGTTACCGCAACAGCAAGTACTGAAGGACCTCCGAAAAGTTTCCATAGGTGTTGCTGAGTTCGCACAAGGACCACTGTCGCATTCAGCTTTCACTCACTGTCTATTTTTGATTAGCTACTATGGCGATGAGAACACTCCTTCCAGGTCTTCAGCTCTTGGTATAGACACTCACGTTGAAGTTGTGTTCGGATGGATTCATCATCATCAACATCAACAGCAGTACATCAGCCATTTGAACTGATGCTTCGCTGCCATACAACCATGAGGGCTTACCTGAAAACCTTAATGCCCTAAGCAAACATTCTGGGTCAAGGCGCCTACACCTAGTGTAGACAGCATACCGTCACAAACAGCTGTCTATCGTGCAAAGATAAGGCGGCATCGGCGAGACAGCTTCCTTGCGGCTTTCACTGCCACGCGTCATAATCAGCCATTATCCCGCAGGTAACTCATCACCAAACACACTTTAAACAAGCAATCCGATTAGAAGACGGCAGCGGACGCGCCACTGGTGTCGATTGCGAGCCATGTCCTGTAAAGTCTCGAGCCAAGCACAAGGTGAGTCACGTGGACTCCAACCCGGAAGGCTAGACGGACCAACGGCACCCAGTTTGGTTGTCAGTGACTTCATTTCCCGCTGCCAAGTCAACTTCTGTTCACCTCGAGCCTTGCGCCATCCTACACCTGGTAGACTAAACAAGGTCCTCCTAGGTAAGCTGTGACCAGGCATGCGTAGCACGGGCCCGAGCCAACGCAACTTATTCAGTGCTATCTGTTGTTCTAGGGTGCTAACATGATTATCACTACCTAGTACTCGCCTACGCACATCATCGTTGCGGATACGCTGGTGCCATCCGACACCAGCAATGCTTCGCAAACAACGATGATCAAAGACTTGAAGGCGCCTAAGATCTTCATACCGAGGGGGCCAAGTCTCACTACCATAGAGCAGAACGGCCCTCACTGTGGCCTTGTATACACGACCTTTCAGACGGAGGGAAGCTCCCTTCTGTCGCCAAAGATGACGCAGGTTCAAGAAGGCAGCTCTGGCCTTTGCAATGCGTGAGCTCACGTCAGTTTCTATGCGCCCATCATTGCTGATGCAGCTGCCAAGAGAAGTGAAATGATCAACCATCTCGAGTTCCTCGTTAGCAAACGTCAAGGGGTCATCAAGTGGCTGGTGGTGGTGGTTCGGATGGATTGGTTTTTGCTTTTCCCCTGGGCTCATTTCTATACACATGCCACGCCCTTGTGTTGCACGCTACTTTCCGTTGTTTTCTGCTCTTTCTCCCATTTCCTAAAAGATCTTAACTCGAGGTGTTCTTTCTGTGTAGTCTGCATGCCTCATGTTTACTCACTTTGGTCGTTCAATACCTTGATCATTTTTTTCACAGGTTCCTCACCCGAATTCTCCCCACTTTACTGCTCTCTCTGTTTGCTTCCAGCTCGAGTATTAAGGTTAAACCCTTACCCAATCCTGTTGCTATCACAATATTTTCATGAGCGAGGGATTCAAGGGTTCCATAGATCTCATTCACCTGAAGAGACGCAGAAAGAAACAGATCCTTAAGGCCTTTAATTCCACACATCCGGTCCGAGGTGAAATTAGCATCCGCATCCAACTGGCCTACTTAAAATTATTTAATAGCTGAATATGAGTTCGTTATCAGGGACCTCGGAATGACGTACACCATGGACGCTAACAGATTTGTGGGTTCACCAGAGGCTGTTATGACTGCTGCGAAGAAATGTGCTACTATTGTGGATGTCAGCAGTATGGTCACTGAATCTACCATCGTCGACAATTTTCCCCCACAGGCTGTAAGAGAACCAACTGCAGCACCGAGTAAGTTGTTTGACGCACTATGTTCCGAATACATAAGATGGTTTGTAATGTATTCATATCAACGGAATCATTTGCAGTTTCCTTAGCGCTCAATTTTTCATTTGTCGGCATGTAGCTATGATGCATAGTCGTCTTGAAAGTGTTTGATCTATCCAACTGGATCCAATTTCTGCTGGTTCAACTTTTTCCGACAGGCAGCTATGCGTTGACTTCCTTTGGCTTGTCATCACTTGCTATGCGTTTCGTCGCTGGGTACTTGGGCAGTCACTATTTTTCACTCACTTGTTTTCTGCGACACTTCCAGACTAGTTTGCTGCTGCCGACTGTATAAGGCCCAGCACTATGGAACCAATCGACCAACACAGCTCACACATTGCGCATCCATGCTTATGTCCAATGTGCTCAGGCAATCTTTAACTCGTACTGTTCTCCAAGGGCCCTAAAACAAGAGCTACTGATGCTGATGTGGGAGCTGAATGGGGTGCCTGGTCGGATATTTCGTTGGACATGAATTGACCGGCGAAAATTTGCAATATCAAGGTGATTTTTTCTTGAAACAGCGTTAAGGCAAGAAATTATCGGAGTGTGTTGGGAAGTTCACGTAATCCCAGTGGTCGTTAGTTATAATAAACAAGCATTAATATAGCAAGCAATCTAGCAAGCATTAATGTAGCTTCAGAAGCTGTTTGGTGTTAGTTTTGCGTTTCTATAATTGGGTACGAGCTGTATATCTGTAGGTAAGCCCCTTTTACTTTTGTGTCATGCTTTGCTTAAAACACTTATTTCTTCAGTCAACGACACCACACTCATATTTGCCCCAAAGTAGAACCCCATGGATTATCTAACAGACAAGGTACATTACCTATTGTGTTTGTGTTTACGCCCCTTGGATTTAGCACTACATATCAATGCAAGATCACATGGCGTGGCAGTACGTGACAGGAGGCTCTGTGGCAGTGAGAGGTTACAAGGCGCTGGGCGGCCGATATCATTGGCTCTGTGATAGAGGTGAGCGTAGAAAATCTATGTTACCTGTAACTACGTATCAATGCAAGCTCACATGGCGCGGCAGTACGTGACAGGAGGCTCTGTGGCAGTGAGAGGTTACAAGGCGGTCGGCGGCAGATTTCATTGGCTCGGTAATAGAGGTGAGCCTAGAAAATCTATGTTACCTGTAACTACGTATCAAGGCGACATGGTGTGGCCGCGGCGGTACCTGACAGGATGCTCTGTGGTCGTGAGAGGAAGCCATGCGTTGGGCGGCAGATTTCAATGGCTCTGAAATGTAGTTGAGCCTTAAAACTCTATGCTACCTGTATATACGTATCCATGCGGCATTGCATGGCGGCGGCAAGACCGGGAAAAGGCAACGGCCGGTGCGTAGCGCAGCGTCTCTGAAAGGGTAGCGATTACAGGAAAGGTATGTACCCCTGTCAGCATAGCACTGTGATGCAAACGGTTAATAGTGATGAATATGCGCAAGCAAGGAAAGTGGAGAAAAGTGATGTCTCAGTGCAAGCAAGCACCTTGGGCCGTGTAAGTTTCTCTAAGATCCTTGCTTTCCCTTTTCATGTACGCTTCAGTTCCCTGTTGTTCGGTGTCTGGCGCGACTGCCATTGTTAGTCGCGTTGATCTCAGGCCAAGGCAAGGCCAAAGTGTGGACGAGCCTTTTCTGTGCACATAGGTCCGGGTTATGGAGCCGAATTGCGATCGCCTCTGCTGTCGACAGCAGGCGACATCTGACTGCCCGTGTGAAACGTCCAGGGACACAGTAAATCTGTGTGAATGCGTCACGCGAATCGATTTGATGGTCGGAGTCAATTAGGTGCGACAACACTACACTCGTTACATTCTTCCTCACGCCGCTGTAGAGCCAAGCTGGGCAATGCTCTCGAGCCCTAAGGGACAGTCCCCTGGTCGTTTTCCCAATATACCTTGCTCGACACGAGCAAGAGAAATTGTACACACAAAAGGAGGTCTGCGACCGAGGTATCCTGTCTTTATGTTGTTGGCACACGAGCGCTGTTGAAGTGAAGCTTACGCGGAGATTAGCGGCAAAATACGTTCTTTCTGTTGCTAAGGAAAGTCTTCGGGTGGTCCGTTCCGCTATCGCGTCACCCTTAAATGGCAACGATAAGTATACCATCCGCTTCTCCACTGAAACGGGCTTGGGCTTTTGTACTCGTGGTTCCATGTGCCTCTGGATGAATTTCTCAGGGTACCCATTGCGCTCGAGTACGTTTCGTATAAAACTCAGCTCATCTGAAAGCGTATCATCTGTACATATTCTCCTCGCTCTCTCCGTTAGGCAACGGACGAGGTTCCTTTTTTGAGTTATCGGAACAAAGCTAGCGAAATGGATGTACTGCCCATTCCAGGTTGCTTTTCTGTGCACCCTCCTTCGCATTGACCCATCTGATGCCCTTTTGATTTGGACATATAAAAATGCCAACGTGTCGTTACGTTCTAGCTCGATAGTGAAAGTTATATTGCTATGTGCAGTGTTAAACTGGGCCAATAGGTCATCGACGCACATTCCATTATTCGCGATACAAAATATGTCGTCTACGTATCGACCGTAATAAACCAAGCTGTTGATGGATTCGTTCAGCTGGTTGCACTCCAATTTGCTCATGAAGACGTCCTCGAGCAACGGTCCTAATGGTGAACCCATTGCCACCCCGTCTATTTGTCGATATTGCGTTTCATTAAACTGAAACTGAATGTTTCGTGTGCACATGAGTAGCAGTTGTCTCAGCCGGTCTAGTGGGATACCAACATCGATGTTGCGCAGCAGGATGAACTCGCACAGATAATCTACGGTCTCCTCCAATGGAACATTGGTAAAAAGACACCACATCTAAGGAGAACATCTGTCGCCCAGCTAGCTCAATTTGTCTCACTGAGTCAAGAAAATGGAAGGTGTCTTTCAGACTGCATCTAGCTATGGCTTTCCTGACTGGTTCCAGCCGTTTGACGAGCCACTTGGCAGTTGAATGGTACGGTGAGTTACACATATCCAGTATCGGCCTTAGTGGTAGCCCTTCCTTGTGTACTTTGGGCAGGCCATACAATCTTGGAATCACTGTCCCACTCGGTCTGGTGTATTCAAATATATCTGAGTCGATTACAATCTCCTGTTTTAAGCAACGCAGGAGTTTCGTTATGGATCTCTCGATTGCCTGTGTCTTGTCATTCTCATTATCCACTCTACGAAATTTTGTCCCGTCAGAAAGAATGGCAACAGAAAGAACGTATTTTGCCGCTAATCTCCGCGTAAGCTTCACTTCAACACCGCTCGTGTGCCAACAACTTAAAGACAGGATACCTCGGTCGCAGACCTCCTTTTGTGTGTACAATTTCTCTTGCTCGTGTCGAGCAAGGTATATTGGGAAAACGACCAGGCGACTGTCCGTTAGGGCTCGAGAGCCCCGAAAGAACGGCGTTTTAACCACAACATTCTGAAACCGTTACTAGCGACCTTCTTCCAGTTGTCAACAGAATGCAAAGCGGAGGAATGAAGGACACCTAGGTCTACTTGGTTGGAGACAAGTGGGAGTTCCACCTCACGGAGTACGTAGCTCGAAGGCAGGAAGTTTGCTCCAAAACGAAGGACAGAACACGTACGCTGATTGATGGCCAGTAGGCACAAAGTAGACCAGCACCGGCGTTTATACACAAGTTAACTCAGCTAAATAAGAAACCATCCGTGTCTTACAATCACAGCGCGCGGCGTGTTAATTGGAAGACACAAGGTACCATGATTAACACCCAGGCCAAACGTTGCACAGCTCACAAAATAGTCAAGGACATATACAGTTGGGGAAGAAAGGCATTGCCGTCGGAACTTACCGATTGGAAGGGGTTTCTATTTGCAGAGTTTCTTCATGCGGTATTCCCATACTATTTCTGTGTATCCCTAAAGAAAAGCAATCTAAACAACATGAAAGGGAACTTACCCACAGCAACGCGCACATGTATATGCCGCTTCCCCATGGTATGAAGCGCAGGTTTGATGAAACCACCGTAAGCAAACATCACAACTTATCCAATCGACGATCTCCGAGCTCCCGCCCGCGTCCTCTTCCTCCTCACACAAAGCGCAAACCGCGCTGTCCGCTTCCTTTTCAGCAGTGCCCCTCTTTGTACCCCATGTGTATGTGCGGTGGCGCGCTGATGTCCTTCTTTTAAGGGTCATAAATGTCAACTCCCGTGAAGTCATGCTGCCTTCCACCACCTCAACCGCACGGGTTAGCAAAGGCGACTTCCGCCTGCGACGCCTGCGGTCGTCGCAAGGAGACTGGGAAACACCAGCCGCCGGGGACACCAATGTGATCCCTTCGCTGACGTCCCTCTCCGGTGAATTCATACTGTTACGCGTACCATTGCCTGCCGTCACGTGGGTAGCTGCAGCGGAGGATGACGGCTGCATTCCCTGGAAAGTAGGCAGGTTTTCCGAGGATAACGGTTGCAGTTCCTCCAACTGCGATGACCGCGCGTAAAGCTGAACATCACTGTGACTTGTGAGCAGCTCCCGCACGCATGCGAACACGCCCATGGTGCGCTGGAACTCCTCCGTGCCCATGCTCAGAATCTGCGTCTCAAGAGCCGCAAACATATCCCGAGTGATGCGAATTTTCGCCGCCCGGTCAAGAACTACATCACTGGGGCATCTCACCGGCGCCACCGTCAACGTCCCTTCCGTATCCTCCGAAAGCACCGGCGCAGATGTACTTATCGATGGCAATACCCAACGGCAACCATCAAGCACATCCTCCTCCTGGTACGCGTGCAGGCTCGCAACGTGAATTATGTGCGCACATGGAATGCGCCACTGCCGATTAAATCTGCATCCACAAGCGCAGCCATTTCCGATGACAACACGTTGCATACCAATGCGCTCGTCCTCCACCAGCCAACAACCACCGCTTTCGTTTACGCTGCGAATACGAACCCGAACACTGTGCCGCGCGTACTGCCGCCGGGCGTAGGACGAGAGCCTGCGCAAAATCACGTCCCCAATGCTGGCTCCGTGCTGAACGTCGCATTCACCAAGTTGATCTCTGGCCAGCAGTGTTTCCCTCTC